AGTCTAAAGCAATGGGTTCGGTTCCCAGCACCATGTGCTGTGCCCACCCTGTCTTCGAGCTGCAGAGTGAGACTCTGTACCAAAAACTTTAATTTAAGTTTCAATTTTTTTTCTTTTTCTTTTCATATATTTGGTACAGGGTCTCACTCTGCAGCTTATACTCATATTGATCCTCCTGTTTTCAGCCTCCCCAGTGCTGAGATTACAGGCGTGCACTGCCACCACACCCAGACTTGGTCACTGGCATGGCATAAGGTTCTGGGGATTGAACCCCATTCCCTGCACTTGCCTAAGCAGGTGCTTAGTCTGCTGAGCTATCTAACTGGCCCTTAAAAAAAATCCTATTTTCTATTAAAGTAGTTTTGTCAAAGCAATATGGATTGTATCTCAAAACTAGTCTAAAATGATTGTCCTCTCACAGTTGCTTATACTATGTACATTTTAAAAGCACAATGTATTAGAACATGATACCTGATTAACATACATGCATTTAAAGGAGTATTATCCAATAGCCTTATCAGGGTGTTAGATGCTGCTGCTTTTCAGCTAGTAAAGTGTAACTTTGTCATTAAGTGAAATCAATGTGGTTAGCTATCCTTCCCAAAGTAGCTTTTAGTTATTAATTAGGATGAAAATAATCCAAGACATTTATACAATAAACATTAAAAGAATTTACTTTATAAATGTCTGGTTTCTTGAAACTAATTATCTCACGATTGTCAACAGACAAAGTGAATTGTCTATCTGTTTAGATATTGAATTTTTAGGGTCAAGATGAAGATTTGTGTTTTTCTCAGCAACAGGATTGAGCCTAGGGCCTGGTGTAGGCGAGGCAAGTGCTCTCTACCACTGAGCTACACTCCCAGCTCCAAGATGAAGACTTTTGGCACCTAAGCAGTCTGTTCCAGAGAGCACTCGGGGTGAGGAAAGCACAGGCAAATTGAGATTAGCATGATGAGTGTCTGCATTTTTCATTTACAGTGAATATCTAGTGGTTAAAACCCCCAGTAGGAAACATGACGGGGCAAAACCATACATTTATATGCACAAGATGGTTAAGACAATGATCCTGAGAATCTTCAGCAGATTTTTGAAGCTAGCAGTTAATTGGTAGGATTCTCACCCTGACTAACTATGTATGTTAATACCTGTGAACTAAGCAACTGCACTGAAGATAGCAATGTGTAATACCAGGGTCATGCTTGGAATGCCTGTCATTCTAGTCTTCTAAATACGTACTGCTTGTCATGTCACACCAATTACTGCTATACTGTCACTCAAGTAAATGTTTGGTTTTTGGTTTTTTTTTTAAAAAGTAATAAATGAAAAAAGAGACAAAAAAAGATTTAAAAATAAAAAATAAACCCCCCAGTGTCAAGCATGGGCTAAAGTACAAAGCTAAATTGTCCTAGATATTTTTGAGATATTAATAAGTAGGTTAGTAATAAACATTTTAAAAATGCCTTTGTGACCAATGGCTTCAGAGACTTGTACACACAACTGTCTCTGAGATTGAAATGTCGAGCAGCACACCAAAGCTTCTCAAAGACTCCCAGTGGCACCCCTTGTGTAGTTGATGCATCTCTCAAGCTTATTTAAGGACTACCTCTTTGATTTTCTTTTCCAAAACATTTAACCTAAGACTAATATTGAAAAAAATCAGGCAAATTTCATCAGAGTGACATTGTACAGTTTACTTGAACTGCATCCCTCAAAACTGGAAGTCAAAGTCATAGTAAAATGAAGAGACATGAAAGCTAAAGGTAATGTTGTACTCTAAGTGAAATCCTAGAATAAATCTGAAGAACATTAGTGAAAACTATAGTGATCTAAATAAGCAATAAGTATTAGATAATGATTAATAATAATGTAGCTATATTAGTTTATTAATTCTAATGAGTGTACTGTGCTAATGTTAAATGTTCAAAATAGGAGAAATTATGTGCTGTGGGTTCATGGGAACTCTTCAGTATTTGCTCAATTTCTCTGTAAATCTAAAACTATCCTAAAATTATAGTCTCTATTTTTTAAAAGCCAAACTAACAAGATGTGTGCTTGTATGAAAAGTTTCCTGTTTAAAATAGGAGACTGAACCACATAAGAATATGGAAATTCTCATTCTGGTTAAGGAGTAGTAAAGAAATGGAAGCATCAAATGGTTCAGATGCTGGAGGCAAATATATCAAAATATTGTGATTGAGAAGGTTATAATTTGAATCTGGGTTGATTCTTCCATAGATACTCATTATAATGATACTAACATCTCAAGAAGTATAATGTTTAAACTCTTATGTTAGGTCTTCCAATATTCGGCCAAAGATAGGGGTAACATGTTGATGATCCCTGCAGAATCATCTTTGTAGATGATGGATTTTTCATAGGTATACTTGAAGGAATTGAATCTGAAGATCCATCCATTCTTCACTCAGGCTCTTTTCTGGGACATGTGCCAGGGAGCTCTTGGAGTGTTTGTTCGGGGTGTTTGTACAACATCTGGGGTCAGATTTGTAACCTCCACTATTGTACTTGACCAAGTTTTCAAGCTCCTATTACTATGCTAACAAATCCAGCAAAACTACTTACGTGTTTCATACATAATGATTGGTGATAGCAATTACACTAGCAGTGTAATTGTAACAACAATAGCAAATATAATAAATTCATTTATTGGTCATAATACAAGTTGTGTTATAACTTTGTAACAACCTGTCTTGGTCATTTTTTCATTGCTGGGACAAAATACCTGACACTGGCAGCTTAAAGGTGGAAGGGTCACTCTGGCTCATGCTTTAGACGTTCAGTCCTTGTGTGGTCAATGATTTGGTGGAAGGACTTGAGTGAAGAAAATTTGCTCAAGGCCTGGCAGCCAAGAGGCAGAGAGAGAAGGCAGGAATGGGGAGGAGCTGCGCCCTTCTAAGCCACACCCAGTGACCTGCATCTTCTCACCAGACTTAACAGCAAATCACTTGCGAGCCACCACAATGGAGTCACCTTCCCAAAGCCCCACCTAGGAGCATATGAGCTAATGAAGGACTTGTACATATACAACATGACCCAAGCCAATAAACTGGAAATTACTGTCCTGGTTTTACAGCTAACAAAGCAATGCTGTGGATGCAGCTTTTACCCATAGTTGGTGAGGCAGCGATGTGCACTGTCCTATTCACAAGCCCTTAAATCAGTGTTTGAAGAACTAGCCTCCCATTTATTTAAGTATATTCTTACAAAGTATCCATAGAACCCTTTTGCTCAAGAGTTGTTTGGGGTGGTTTGACAATGAAATTGAATCAGTTACATAAATGAATTCAGCTAGCTCTTCTTGGTACGACTAGGAAGCAGAAGGAGGTAAGGACTGCTTTGAAGTTCACTACAAAAACAAACAGGTGCTCTTAGGAACTGGTAGAGGTTTACTTTTCATAACAGTTGAGTTTATTTGTGGTGTTTCTGCACAGAGCTTGACAATAAGTAGATTCACTTTAACATAGTTTTTTGTTTGCCTGTTTGGAGGTCTTTGCTTTGATTACATTTTTGCAAATAGAAAAGTATTCTCAGTTTCCAGCAGAAACATTCATCTGCTATCTTTTCACTCTGATAAGAAGACCGTAGCTGTAGTGAGGCTGTGGCACTGGCAACAGCTTTCCAAATGGTGTGGTCTATCACCACACCTCAGTTATGTCCTCAAACTTGACAGCGTCCATGTACAAGAGAAAGCCATGCAGGGAGAAAACACCTCCTCCTCAGGTCATTCTGTGCTCCGACTCACAGCTTCTTCATACATGTCAGTGATTTAACTTTTCAGATTTTATTTCACTCAATTGTGGAATAATGTCACACAATTAGATGTGGGCCTAATACTATACTTTTATCTTTTCTCTGTGTAAATTGTATACTAATAGAAAGTATCATTCCTTCTTCAGCGACAAATAGGGATAAAGAGAATTTGTTGGAAGTTGAAGTCAAAACTCTTAATTTACAGTACTCGGGAAACCATGTCTGCCAGTGGCTTAAATTGAACTTTGAAACTGAAAGGTTGATTGTCTTTCCTAGGTTCCACTGAAGGTTGTTTTTCAAGAGAGTCCTGGGAGTGATTTGCAATGACCTTTTCCTTTCCTCCCTCACTCTTTCCACAAAGTTGTTTTCGTACTGCAGATTTCTTTTCCCTAGGTTGATGGAGCCCTTGCCTTCAATGGGCAGTCAACACTCAAGACCTTAAGTCAGTGAAAATGAGTTAAGATGTGTCAAACATTAGTTTCTTTAAGACATATGTAGAATGATGGTGCTCATGTATTTTTAAATACTTCATTTTAAAGAGAGTAAAAAAAAACACACAGAATTTCAAAACAAAATGATAGAAAATTAACAATGGTTATTATATTGTATATTATTATCTTTAAAGAGGTTGTTCAGATTACCAAATATAAGCATGTAAGATTGTTCAAGCAGTATAAGCACTAACTGTTCCATTCAATGAGCTAATAGAAATTAGTAATATGATTATCTTAGCTATCTTGTATATACTCTTTCCTTCCTTTCTCCTTTCCCCTATCCTAATTGTTCAGGATAAATATTCTAGAAACCCTACTACACAAGGCATCAACAATGGCTAGTTCTTGATATTAAATGAGGATAATTGAGCTGGGTGCAGTGGCACATGCCTGGGATCCCTGCTACTAGGAGGGAGCAGGCTGAGGAAGGAAGATTGCAAGTTTGAGGTCAGGGTGGCAGCTTAGCGAGACCCCTCTCAAAGTGAAGAGGGCTAAGGATATAGTTCAGTGGAAGAATACTTGTGCAAAACCCTGGGTTCAATTCCCAGTACAAAAAAAAAAAAGAAAGAAAAGAAAAGAAATAAAGAAGAAAAAGTAGAGGGTTATTGAAATGGCTTGTTGATTATAGCAAACCACTGATTATTCAACAGATTTTGCCCATCTTGGTACCACTGGTATTAGATCAGATTTCCCCAAAGCGATGGGTGGTTACTGTTTTTCCTGTTACAATTGCAGAAATTCCACAGCTTTGAAGAATGGCAGAGGAACGGAAAGATGAAGCCAAGGCACCACATTGGACCTCAGCTCCGTTAACAGAGGCATCTGCACACCCACATCCACCGGAAATTAAAGACCAAGCTGGGGCAGGGGAAGGACTTGTCCGAAGCGCCAATGGCTTCCCATACAGAGATGATGAAGAGGCTGCCTATGGAGAGCATGGGCCACAGGGCCCCTATTCAGATACCAAAGAGAACGGAATCAACGGAGAGCTGACCTCAGGTGACAGAGAAACCGCAGGTAACCGAGAACCCACTGTCGTAGTACTTGCTTTGTGCTTTGCCAACAGTTTAGTCTGAAAGTGAATTAATTTACCATGCTTAGCTTTTACTAGGTCCGGGCTGAAATTCCAGTTGACCAGGAGAAATAGATACTAAAAAGAGAAAAACAAGGTCACTAGTCTGAACTTGACCCAAATTAGTTGCATTCTCAGTTCTATTTCCCTATTTAATTTTTATTTCCTTGGTTTGTACAGACAGATGGCTGCTTGTGTGTGTGTGTTTTGCTAGAGATTATCAGCATTTTAATCTATGAGAAAAACTTAAGAGTTTTCTTGTTGATTTTCATGAACAGCAGTGGGCCTAAATATAATGATTGATCAGAAATCTACGTACTTTATAGAAAGATATGTAAAATCCATCTCCACAACCTTCAAAATAAAAAGAAAGAAAGAAAACCAGCATATAAAGGAATGATTTCACTGTGTAGGTAGAGGGCAGTGGCCAGGGTTCAATATCTGGCGTCTCATGCTGGCCCCGCCCCTGGGGCTCGCTGAGGCAGCAGTCGAGACTGGGCATGGTGGTGCACGCCTGTAATCCTAGCCCTCGGGAAGCTGAAAACAGGAGAATCACTATGAGTCCGATCTATATAGTGAGACCCTGTAGACTCTGTAGACCCTGTCCTAAATTTAAAAAAGAACCATTTAAAATATTCTCAGATAGCTATTTAAAAATGATGTACCGGTGTTTGAGAGAGAACATAATTTAGTTTACTTCTTTTCAAAATATGACTTTTAACAGGAGTTTCCTTTACTCTGTCACTGACTATATTCTTTCGTAGTAGTTATATGCAAAACTAATGGCATAGAGGAATGCTAGCATCCACTATCATTGTTTTTCACCATCATTTTTCTTTATAATTCAGAATTTAACAGACATAAGCTTATTAAATTGCATACAGAAAATTATCACCCAAAAGAGTGAGCCCATTCTAGAAAGAAAAGCTATGTTGCCTTCAAAATCACCCCTTACTTGTTTGAGGATTAGCTTTCTATACTTCATCAATTATTCTGAAACAATTATGGATAGTAAATTCTATTAAAATATATGTTAAGGTGCGTAAAATTGGTAAAAATAAATAAATAAATAAATAAATAAATAAATAAATAAATGTCCTTAGCAGGAGTGAAGTCCTGAGTTTCATCCCTAGCACCAAACTCTCCCACATAAACATGCACAAAAAAGTATACCTGATGCATATGTAAATTTTAATGTAGAATTGTGGGAAGCATTTGACATGATAGAAGAGAAAAAAATGAGTACACAGGAAAGTTTTTAAAACTCTCCTCACACAAAACACTACTGTGAAAAAATAAATAAATAAAAATTTTAAAAACACTACTGTGATGATTTTTTATGTATGAAGTGCCATGTTAGTTTCTGTGCAAAGGTGTGTACAAGAAGTCGGCCCTGAACGTCATGGATCAGTGGCTGTTACAGCACATGAGACCTGGGCATGAAGTGAATTCAGATACAGAAACCATGTCTGCAGGGTCAAATGAGGAATACAGAAAGGCAGATTTGAAGAGGGATCGTTTATTGATACTAAAAGTCAATATTCTCGAATTGTGCACCTCCTGCAGGGGCAACCAAATTTATGGAGGTACAGTAAAGTATTTTAAATATTGAAGAGTAACACCATGATACTCGCCCTCTGTCAAGCACTACCTGTGCTATTAACTCGAGAAGATTTACAGCTTCTGCAATAGATGATATTGCATTCCTTTTGAAGGCAACATATCTTTGAAAACTGAATTTTTCAGCAGTTGCTCTGGTTAAAAAAACATGTATCTTGCAGGAGTCCATGCAGAACAGGAAAGGAAGGTGGTGACATTCAAAACGACTCAAGGAATTCAGAAGCTATACACAGCCCTTATCTAACTTATTAGCAAGAAAAACTGTAGTTAAGAATGAAACTAAAACATTTCCTCACCTCTCAGTAACAGTGAGACTAAGATAAAGTGTATAAAATGAAGAGTCCAAGAAGTAATAGCTGTTATTTATTGGATACAAGGTGGTGGCAATGAGAACAGGAGGTACACTTGATCAAGGAATTTTTTTACAGCTGGGTATAACATAACTTGAAGAGGTTGGAGCTTGCATGTGTGGAATATTAACTAAGAATTTTCAAGGAGTCAAGGCATGAGGAGGTGAAGGCGCATTACAGTACAGTGGTTAAAAGAAACAAGAGAGTTAGCTGGTAGACCAAGGTTCTCCTCCTCATCATGTCCTGTAACACCATCTAATGCCTCCAGTCCTCAATATGTGTATGCTGAGTGAGTGAATGAATGAGCATCGGAGTGCAGAGAGAGGAAAATGCTTTTTCAATTAATGGGAAGATGACGTAAAGACCTAGCTTTTGTGTCTTGGGCAGTCATCACTTGATTCTCACTCACAGTGGTCCTTGTTCAGAAAAGCAGTGGAGAACATCATTTACTGTTCCATTTGCTTGGTGATCTGAATGAGCATCAGAAAAATGTATTTGCTGGGTCAGCCTGTCCTTGCCAGCTTCTTTGAGAAAAGAAATCAAGAAGACTAACAGATCTTTACCTTTATGTGATGGTTTCAGGAGCATCCTGAGTTAATTTTGAAGTCAGTTCGACTTGTATCAGTGAGTCTCATATCATCTTTGGGTGATTGATAGCAGAGGCTTTATGTATGTGTTCATAGTGACAGAGATGGAAAATAATAAGCCATCAACTACCACAGTGGTATTTTCAATCCAAACCATATTACTATTTTAAACTAACTGTCCAAAGTAGTAAGTTAAGTACTGAAACCATAAAATATGTCAATGTGGAAAGCTATAAGTAACAGAAAATGTAAAACTTTTGTTTCTTATATACTACAAAGAATATCTCATGATAACTGCATGTGCAATTAAATTTCTCTCCAAACACTAGCTAAATAGGTGATAACTTTTCTCATTTGCTGATTTATGCTGAACTTTAATAAATTATGCAATGAAAATCATCTCCCGCAAAAGAGGTGCTCTTAGGGCCAGTGAGATAGCTCTGTGGACTAAAGGCCTGCTTAGGCAAGCGCAGGGATTGGGCTTTGATTCCTGGCACCATGTGCCTCCCTGGCCCCGCCCCCAGGAGCACTGAGCCAGCCACCAAGACCAGGCTTGATGGAGCATGCCAAAAATCCCAGCACTGGGGAGGCTGAAAACAGGGGGATCACTGTGAGTCTGAGCTGCATAGTGAGACCCTTTATCAAATACATTAAATAAAAAATAAAACAAAAAAAAGAGGTGCTCTTATATCTCAAATACGATATTTTAAAAATGCTATTCTTTTCTATGCATGTATATAAGCTGGTGATATATTTTGAAATCCTTATTTGTTTAGCATAAAGAAGCTATACACCTATTTGTTCTTTTATCATTCAGATACAACCTATGAGATACAGTTTTTCCCTGTAAAAGGTAATCATGGCTGGTACTACATACTTAGTCCCAGTTCCTTGGTTGCCTGAAATAGAAGAATCACCTGAGTCCATACATTCAGGACTAACCTGAACCACACAGTAAGACCCTGGCTTAGAAAAATAAATAATACTAACAACAAACCAATGAGTGAAAATGATGCTCTGTAAAACAGTTCACATGAAGCATTTCACAGGGACCTTCAGTTTTCAGCTCTGTGTCATGCTTGAATCCCCAACCCTTTATTTTAGTTCTTTCTATAGTTCTTTCTTCACTTTAGACATAAATTTTCTGGAAAATTAGTTCTTTTCATTCATCTCTTTGAATAGGATTTTTGTCATTAGTGGCTTACACCCGTCGATTCTTTCATCCTTCCTTCTAGACTGGTCCTACTTCAACCAAGGTTCTTGCCTTGTTCTTCCTACCTCACCCTTTGTAGGGTTCATTTTCACTTACAGGCCGTAATACTTTTTTAAAAAATGGTATTTTGTGGTAAACTTAACTTTTGATCTTCTGCACTGGGATCAAGTGCTGGAAAAATATGGACTATTAGAGGAAAATATTTTAAATTACACTTCTGTACAACATACTCTTCAAGATTTTATCTCCTTCCATACAATTTAAAGCCAATCCATAGAAATATAAGTAAAATTATTTTCTCAACTATAAGTTTTGATACTTCCAGATTGTTTTCTCATTACTGAAGTGTTATTATTCTAAACTGTCACAGAATGCAAAAAGAAACGAGATGGTACTAAAATTCTAGCCATTAAAAAAACTAAGGTGGAAGAAATATTTTTAAATTGTTTTGTAAAATGTGAATGAGAAAAGTAATGGCTTGTGATTATCTCTCCCTTCCTCTTTTTTTTCTACTTTGTTGAGCAAAGCAAACAAATACATCCTCGTCCCTGTGAATGTCCCACTCAGTGACAAATGAATCTCATCTTTATGCTTCTTATCCTGGAGCAGGGCCCACATTCATGTTGGACTTTATATGAAAATAACATAGCATATATCTATATAAATTTAGGAGGTGCCCTTTGTTAGACAACACTAACAGAATCTGCTAATATTCTGTCTTATAGATGATAAGACAGAAAGCCAGGAGAACCCTGTAAAGTGACTCCCCAGAGCTCTTTGCTGCTTTGACCACCCATCTCAGAGCCCAGAACCATTCCCAGAACACAGGCCTTTTGTCTCCTGTTAATACTCTTTCTGCTCTTCCACTTGCCAGACAGGGACTACAGCAGCCGTGACAGCACTCCTTCTAGGCGAGGAGGGCCATTTGCCTTCTCGTGCAGAACTCACATTCACGTACCTTTAAGCATGACAAAATCATAAGTTTATTCACAGTTTGAAGCCTGAGGGAAGAAAGAGATAGTTCTAAGATGTTGATAAATAGCAAAACATCGAGGTATTTAAAGTCCGACTTTTAGGTTGTTGTTGATGATGGTGGTGGTGGTGGGGGTGTGTGTGTGTGTGTGTGTGTGTGTGTGTGTGTGTGTCTGGCTCAGCCTGCCAAGGGGAGTGTCTGG